TGAGGCAGATTGGTCTGAAGGATTTCGGGTGAGTAGGATCTCTTTTGCCCGCCTTCGGAATAAAGACCACTTTTGCCCTTCTCCACATGTTTGGTATGTATCCCAATGCAATACTGACTCTGGCTATTCTAGTTATTGGACCTAGTAGCTGTTCAATTCCTTTTTGAAGTAATGCCGGAAAGACACCATCAATACCTGGAGATTTCAGTGGCTTGAGCGAATTTACCGCCCACCTGATTTTAGGCATTGTGATTATATTTTTGGCAAATTTCCAATCATCCTTCTTTACTGTTTTAGGGGGTTCAGTGTGTTCTGATTCCGTCCCTAGAGTTGGAGAGGATCCTGGGAAGTGTACGTCCAGAAGTAGTTGTATCTTCTCTTCTTCACCTTCGGTGAAACTTCCATCTTCTCGCTTGAGATTTGTGGAGGTGAGGCTGCTGCTTTTTGCAAGTACCTTGTAGAGTCTTGATACCTCCGTAGTGTTTTCTATGCTTTCGCAGAATTTTTGAAAGCTTCTGCGTTTAGAGGCCCTAATTTCTCTATTGTACAAAGTAAGTTTTTTCCTATATTCTGACCAGTCTCCTGTTCGCTTTGAGTAGTTAAAAAGTCCTCTAACAGTGTTTCTTAGGTTTTTAAGGTCATTGTTCCACCAAGGCACATCCTTGGTGGAGTTAATCAGGCTTAATGAACAGCTATCCTCATATGCATTTAGTATGGCCCCATTAAGGTTTTCTAGGTAATTTTCTAATTGAATTTCATTCTGAATGATTTCATCTAGCCCTAATTGGACAAGATTGTCTTTCAGATTTTCCGTGTAGTTCTCCCAATTTGTTTTTCTTGGGTTCCTTAAAATTGTTAATTGTTAATTGGTGAACCTTAAAATTTGTTAATTGGTGAACCTTCAATATCGAACCTTAGAATTCTATGATCAGACATAGATGGTTCACTGGATACTCTCCAGTTTTTCACAAGCTCACAACCTCGAGTATTTCCTATAGTAATATCTAGGACCTCTTTGCGTGAGATAGTTACAAATGTTGGTGTATTACCTACATTACATATTTCTAATTTTTTACTAGTTATAAATTCTAAAAGGTACTCACCTCTTATATTGGTGTTAGTGCTTCCCCAAACTTCGTTGTGTGCGTTGGAGTCGCAACCGAGTATAAGAGGCAATTTCATTCTCTCGCAGTAGTTTACCAGTTTATCGACCTCTGTAGATGGTACCTGAGTGTCGTCTCCTGGTAGATAACCTGTAGCTACGACTACGTTCCGTAGAACTCCGTTGATGTTGGCCGGAATCTGTATGGCAACGAGGTCCCTGGAGAGAAATTCTGAAAGACAGATAAAGTTGATATTAATATTCAATAAAATGCAGGTTCTTGGTTTATCACATCTTACATCCCAAATTGTCTGCATATTCTTTGCAGTCAAACCACAGATTCGACCCCTATAAATCCAGGGTTCTTGGACCAGCACTATGCTCAGGTTCGATTTGAGCGTAGCCCTTGCAATAACTGCCGACGCAGCTTTTGCATGGTGGATATTTATTTGGGCGATTCTAGTGCTGGTCATCAGGTGGTTATTCCTCCTTCGTTTCTTCTATCAGACCGTCGTCGATGTCTGACAGAAAGATTCTTTCGGAGTCTTCCTCGGACGCCAGGTTCAGTAGAGAGAGATCTAGATTCTCAATGTCCTCACTCTCGTGAGGTAGCACGCTGATATCTTCAATCTTCTCGCTCCTGGTCGCCTCCTCCTCCACTAGTTCCGCAACAGTTGCAGGTATCGTTCCTACAGCTGGTGTATTTTCCCCAGCTGAGTTACTTCTTTCCTTGTTGTCTCGTCCCTTATGCAGGTGAATTGGGACGGAACTGAATCTGTAGAAGATCCTACAGCCGTTGTTTGTTATGGCTTCCTGAGACCGGTTGTCAATCCCGATTGTTAGGAGTTTGCCATTTTTCAGATCCTTGCTGCTAAAAACTCTCCACATCTGAGTATGTAGACCCTCATTTTGAGTTATGAGCAGTTTTAGCAGCTTTTCCGTGTCGACCCCTTTAGCTCTTGGGAGGTAGACTGTCAACATGTGTAATTTCGGTATTTTGTCCCCGACACACGTGGTGAGTTCAGCGCCTTCTCATCCGTTCAGCTTAGGTGCCGTTCCATGGATAAAATTAGCCGCATCCTCGTCTACGCAGTCAACCAGTATAAGTCCTGGGCGAAAGTGTATCCCGCTAAATCGTAGCTTGGCATCCCATCCTTTATACATCTCCTCAATGAGAAGTTCCTCGATTTTACCTTGCTCCTCCCTAGAAAGAGTAGATTCCGGGTAAGATTTCGGAAGAATTGCTATTCTTAAGCTCTTGGCTACATTAGCGTAACTGCTGCCCGATATTATTTTTCTCGGTTGTTTTGGTGCTGTCATTTGCGTACCATCCTTTGCTTGTGGAGGTTTCTCATTCCCTCTTCTTTTCTTAGCTGATTGATGATCGATCGGACTAATTTCTTGGGCAGACCTCTTCTTAGAGTCTTGATTGCCCCTCGGCCGATTGAGCGCCTTTTCCTTGGCTGCCTCCGGTGCTAAGCCTTCTTTGAGATAGCGCAGGTACCATTTTGTACCCGCACCGCTCAAACCAGTAGATTTCCTGGCGTCGCGAAAGCTTTGGCCGGAGTTTAGTCCAGTGCTTGTCGAGGGCTGTGGTAGTGTTTCGATCGTTACATCTTTTGGTGCAACCTTTGAACCCAGAGTTCCTTGACTTCCTTTTCGTAACGAAAGTTCCGTTTTTGATTCAGTTGGCAGAGAGCTAG